CACTACTTTGTGCAGAGCCCCAGGTATCTGGAGCAGAGAAAAAAAATAAATAAATAAAATTTACAGAACACAGCTGCGCATAATCCATGAACACCCCAAACCCCAAAAAAAAAACCAAAAAAAAAAAAAACCAAACCACAGTTGGAAGAACAAGAACTGTGTAGCTTTACATTTCTATTTAACCCATTCATATTTTCCCACATTGTCTTCCTTTGTAATATCTACTGCTTCACAGCACCCCAAGCGAACCTTCGAGACACATTTCCATTTACATCGATGTCTGCTGTGTGGCCACTTGTGTACAGCTTTTTTATAATTGCCATCTCTTCTACTACAAGTCAAAAGGGCCCCATGCAAACACATTTTAAGTTGTTGGACAAGCCGCAGATTTACTTAGCAGAGGTTACCAAGGAGAATATTCTAGATAAAGTAACTGATTACATTAAGGATGGCCAACTACAGTAGGTCATCCTTAGCGGTGGTTTGAGTGACCAGATCACAATGGGTTTAGTTCGTATGTACAAACATTTCTTGCACAAATCTTTGATCAATTTTTCTCCCCGCTTTCTTGCTGCACTGGGGCAAGAAATCAGGCAAAAACATTCATCATCACTTTCTCACACAGACCAAAAGCATTCTATTACCTTGAAGATTTCTTTAACATTGCTTAGCATAAAGACCAATATAAGATCTTCTTTCTCTTTGGAGAGAGCCTTGCTGTGTAGGATCGCCCTGGAGAAAGACCTCTTCACTGCCAGCCTGTTCTCAATCTACAGATGACAGAGCACATTCTTTGATGTCAGACCCCCCAAAAAAATAAATAAATAAATAAATAAAAACACCACTTGCTCTCACCTCCTTGTCCACTTTAATCCCATGTGGGTCAGCTGCCAGAGACACGAAGATAAGCAGCCTACGGAGCTCATCTCTGCGGCTGTGCGGCAGCAGCTTCAGACACAGTTGCAGAGCCTCGAGAGCCTTATCTAATTTAGCATTTACTGAAAAGGTGAGAGAATGAAAGAGACAGTTGTGCTGCAAGTGGTGAGGTTATTAAAAATCTTTGGAGGAGAAGAGAGCATGGTTGGAGAAGCGGTAAAAATCTCACCGTCACGTCTGAACCAGTGTTCTTACCGAGCAGCTCTGTGATGGCTGTGTAGACATCAGTCATGTGCTGCGGCAGAAGTGGAAGCCTGTTTGTGATGCTGTAGTGTTTGACCAGAGTCCCATATAGAAGCAGCTTACACTGGGCCAAGCCACTTGGGGAGAGATGTGTGTGCTCTGCACTGTTGTCACCTGAGTATTTTGAAGCCATTGTTAAACATGCCATCATTTGCAACATAAGCTATACATGTCTCTCACCATAGCTCACCAGTGGTGTTTACATGCTTTACCCGATTCTGATACTCATCATACCACTTGCCTCTTTCTTGGACGCCGAGACCAGCTGGTTCTGGGTCACAGCTCTCATTATCTTGAGGGAAACAATGAGGCAACTCCCTGCTGAGCTCCACTACCGGCTGGTCAGGCAGGAAGTCCAAACAGTTCAAAGCTGCACAGAGCCACTCATCTTCCCTGAAAAATGAGGAGGAAACAGTGCAAGTGAGATCAACAAAACATCAAATTTATAAAAAAAAATAAAGATTTTTAAAAATCCAAACTTACTGAGAATCTCGGAAGGCCTTGAGGATCTGTCGGTCCAGGTGGTTGCTGCTGTAGATCAGATCTGGGTTATTGTGTGCCAGGTTGGCTGGAGATGGAGAGGATGGGCTCTGCCTGCACTGAAGCACGCCTTCCAGCACAGGGAGCTCCACCAGGTTTAACAGCCTGAGCAGGGTCTGCTCCTGCCACACCTCATCCACCACTGCAGGAAAGAGCCAGAGGAACCAAGCTCTAATTGAGTTGCAGCCTGTGCAGGTGTATTGCTGCCTTTTGTCCCCCTGAATGCAGCCTATGATAGGATCCATGCTGTTAAACTAAATGTGTAATGTTATTTGGCATCAAACATTGCCTGATAGATGCATATATTGCTCAAAAGCTGAATAGATCATTCAGCATTAATGTCAAATTAACAGATGTGCAAGTTACTCAAACCATGTGAATGAATGTACTCCAATTATCCTCAGAGATGCCGGATTGTGGCTGATCCAGTACCATCTGCTACATGTCTCTTTGAATGCAATTTGCTTGATGATCACAGCTATGTAGTACAGATTTCCTGCTTGTCCTTTGCATACCACAGCATTATGTATTGCAGAAACATTTGCTTTAGTTTAGTTGTTCAGGATTGCTTTAGTGATGCATACGAAAGAAAGATTTGTGCTCACATGATTGTGGTAAACCCGTGGCTGTCTGTACCCTGCACGGACTCAGACTCAGACTGTTCATCGGCAGCTCCAATGATTGGCTGCTAGTGGCGGGAGCATCTAGCTGGCTGGAAGTATGAGTGAAGAGGACTGGGGTGGACATCTCAACAAGCGATGCAGGGGGACAGGTCTGCTCTTCCTGCCTGAAATGCAAGAGACACGGATTTCAGGCACAGTAAATTCAGACCTTGATGGATCTACGCTACAAAAGAATTCAGCCAGTCCCAAAGGTAAAAGCAAGGTGTACCTAATAATATGGACAGAGTATACAGTAATATTTATTATTCAATTCATAAAATATTCATACATGAGATACATTTTGACTTGATGCTACCTTTGGTTAGATGTTTTATATGCAGTGTGCCTGTAATACAGATAAATAAATATTTTAGAGGTGATACCTGTCTGAAGGAGCGCAGGTGAAGAACTTTTGGATCCCATTCACAAGCACACCTTTTTCCAACTCATCTACTGAAGGAGTAGATGTGTCTACAAACCTGCATGTTTATATGAAATGTTTAGGGAATGCCATCACAGGTAGAAATTTTTTTTTTTTTTTTTTTTTTTTTTTTAAAAAGTTGGTTTCATGTATCCAACCTGTAAAGAGCGCTCTTGCTGTCATGAAACGCATCCTGTTTCTTGTCTTTTCCCAGCACTTTGGTTCCCACCGCCTCAAACACGCCGCACTCCAACAGCGCCTGGCACACACACACCACTTTGTCCCGAGACACGACGGCACCTTAAATTTAATCAAATAGAAGGGCCGAATATCATAAATAAAATGATCTCTAGAAGGTGAAGCTATGGGAATAAAACAGCATCTACAAACCAACACACACCCTCAAAGCCCTTCGCTTTAACAATGTATTCTGCCAGTACATCCACACCCTCTGAGCCAAGGAAACAGTCACTGTGGGATTTCAAGAGGACTCGTCTGCGCTTCACGGTCACAGTAGACTTCAGGTGGGAGATAAGGCTGCTCCACATGGTGCAAGACTGGACTGGCTTGGAGGCCACACAAGGAGCTTTAAAAAAAAAAAAGAAAAAAAAAAGGCACATTCAGAACAAACTCTTAACATATTTTACAGGCAATTTGTGCAGGGCACGATTAGATATATGCAAAAGGACAGAAGAGACCTCTTAAACACCTTTATAGGAATATATATCTCTAAGAGAATGAGGGAAAGGAGCAATTCCACCTTGTAGTGCAGTTTGCACAAATTGTTTTAAAAATGCACTCACGCTACAAACATTACTGATGAGTCAAGACAGTTGTTAGGCTGCTGATGTAAATTGATTCATTAGTGTATATTTGACAAAGAATCTGAATTGACACGTCTCACTTTTTATATGGCACGAATCAATGTGTTATTTTATCAGGTGGCAATATGTCTACGTGCAGTCAGAGGGGAAGAGCCAGGGCCAAAGGTGAGGCACATCAAGCACAGAATAATAATTTTAATCTGAGGATAAAACGCATGTACTGAGGCTGAAAGAAGCTTCAGTGCTCTCAGAAGACTAAAAAGATGGCTAAGGTCAACAATGACTCAAATGAGATTAAACAATGCTGCTGTATGTCCACCAGGAGAGACTGGACAGTATAGATGTAAAACAAATATGCCAGCAGTTTATCTCAGTTAACGAGAGGAGCAGGCATGTGTTTGGCTCCTTCACATAGTGGACATTGAGTTGTTGTGTGGGACACCAGTAGTCCATGTCTGTTGCTGTAACAGTAGTTCATGTTTAGAATAGAAAATCTCAGCTCACTGATTTGATCGGGGCAATAGTGCCTAATCTGTTGCATAATTTTGCTGAGAGATCTTTTACTTTGTGGCAATCTTAGATGAGTAGTTTTATGGCCCAAAATACTTAGTCATTTGTTTAATAGTAATTTAACATTATAAAATTCACATATAAAACTATGAATCATCCGTCCCCACCAATGCCAAAACCAAATCTACGCCCTTGGAAAGGAGAGAAATCAAGGGTTGAGGAGGAAGGTTAGACTAAGCACAATAACGGAAACCTTAAAATGACCACTGCCAAATCCTTTGCCACAGCTGTTTGTAAGTGCAGCTTTGCAACGCTTGCTTAACATGAGAAAAAAAACAATCAGATCTCAGTTCAGGCCTCCGCCAGGTGCAAACAACTCACCTTGATTACGCACACACAATTTCTCCGCAAGGTTCAGCGCCGCGGCTCTTTCTTTTATTGAAGCCATGCTTCTGACGGATTACAAAAGCTGAGAATGGGCGGGTATAAAAGCAGGAGGAAGCAATCAATGAAAGCGCCTCCAATCAAACAAGCGCCCTCTCTGGCGTTTGTGTGCAGCTCTGTAATAAAACCGCTAGAGGGCGCTAGTAGCTCAGTCACACAGAGACCTCTGGCTATGGAGGTCTTCAACTATGTGAACTTTGTGTTTTACTGACTTGCTTTCATAGATTGAACTAATGAATAATGGGAACAGATCTTCTGATCCTCTGCGGAGTCATTAGCCATAGCTTTATCAACACTTTATTAAAAAATAATTTATATAAAAGCACTAAATGATGGAGTGATCATTTATTTTAAATATCAAATTAATTTATACATTTAAACAAATGTTATGCATTTTTTTCTTCTCCGTTTGAGTGCCTGCAGGTGGTGTAAGTAAATCTTGACCTTCTGCCTGTGTCACATTACTATTGTGCAAAAATAGGACATCTCTATTAGAACTCTATTCTATTAATTTATGCATACATGCGTTTTATTTGTGCATTATATATTTTTATAGAAAACTACTGTCATATTTAAATTTGTATTTATATATTTTAAAGTTTTTGGACATTTCACATTTTTGAGAATCTTCTCAGCATCTGTCCAGTGCGCTTCCTGTAGTTCGCCATCTTGCTTGCTGTGCTAATTGCTAAAGGTAAGCTACAACAACAAGCAAACATTTTATTTGAAGTACTTACTTATGGCAGTGCCTAATTTATTTCTCTGTTAAATTAGTGTACAAATATGTATTTCAGCATTAATATGGAAATGTATGTTTAAACGGCAGAGTCATGTTAGCTACAACTAGGTGGCTTTAGCTTTAGCAATCATTTTTGCTAGGCTAAACAGTTTGTGCTTATTCTGTTAGCATGGGAGCTTGATAACACTGGAAATACCTTTAGAACAACAGTACAGTCACAGTAAAAACTAATGCTCTGCATTTATTGTGTTGTCTATCAACATATCTGGGCCTTAGTGTTTTGTTAATACCCAGATTATTAGTTATCATCAGGATAATGATAACTGATTTTGGTACAGTTGAACCTAGAGCAACATTAGTTATCATAATCCAGGAACACCACCAATATGGGCAGATCAGATACACCTGATATTGACGAGTCTTACACTGTCAGCTTTCTTCTCTGGCTTCAAACAGACTAAACTTTATTATTATAGTAGCTCTCTTCTAGTCTTTCTGATTAAAGTGCCAAAAGTGCTTATCACATTCATACAGTACCTTTACTTACACATAACCAGATTTGTGTATCCTGATTGCCAGTATTAGGGTAACTGGATCCAGAAAACAGAAAGTTATCCTGGGTTCTCTGAACTTTCGTAGTGCAGGGCCAAGGTCTTAAAATTAGATCAATACAAACTCAGATGAACTACAGAACAATAACACATTTTTGAGTGCCATTATTGATTTAACAAAATTAAGCCAAAATGCGCAAGTGGTGTCTAAAAATTTAAGTACACCCTTACTGCCAATCATATGTACTTTATTAATTGATCATCAACAACTGATGATCAATTAACATCTGGAGTATTCAGGTGTTGACCCAAGGAAGAAAGATATTAGCAATGATCTTAGAGAAGCAATTATATCTTCCCACCAGTGTAGGAAGGGTTATCAAGCCATTTTTAAATATTTTAATAATCCTTTTTTCTACAGTGATGAAGTGTAAAACATTCAGGACAGTTGAAATCTTCTTAGGAGTGGATGTCCTAGCAAATTCACCCCAAGATCAGATCAATGTTCAGAGAAACTGCATAAAACGTTAGAGCTTCATATCAGACCCTACGGGCCGACCTTGGCATGCTAAGTGTTAAAGTTCATGACAGTGCAATTAGAAAAAGACTGAACAACTATGGCTTTGTCTGTTGGACAATGTGCTTTTGTCTTGTCCTTTGGACAAACAAGAGCAAAGTGGAGGTGTTTATCCATAATGTACAGCCTCATTATGGCAGTTCAGGAGATAGAGCCGGTCATGTACAAGTTGAGAGATTGGTGGCCTTTTGCCCAAGGATGCCAAATATCCTTGGGCAAGATACTAACCCCAAGTTGCTTTGTGATGCATCCATTGGAATATGAATGAGTGTGAATGTTAGATAGAAAGCAATTGCCTAGAAAAGGCATTTCATTTCATTTAGTCAACCATGAAATCCTCTGTATACCTAAAATATTCTAGAGTCACAGGTGAGGTCATCTGTCGGTCCAAATTGGGTCATGTAGCAGGACAATGATCCCAAGCACAGCAGCAACTCTACAACAGAATGAGTGAAAAAGAAAAGAATCAAGGTGCGTCAGTGGGTTTAAGTGTAGAACTCCGTCTGATTGAATTGGTGTGCTGGGACCTTAAGAGAACTGTATAAACCAATCCCACAAAATCCAGTTAACTAACATTTCAAAGAAAGAGCACACCAAAATTCCTCCACAATGATGCGAGAGACTGATAAAGTCATACAGGAGGCCTTTACTTTTAAGCCCTGCTGCTAAAGGAGGTTTGACAAGTGCTTGAATCACGGGGGGTATGTAGTTTTTCACACACATAAATAAGCCCACAGTATATTACAGCTTATGTTGATGTTCATTTGAGGTTGATTTAATAATAAGGTATGATTATTGATACATTCTTTTAAATTCTATTTTATTGGAAGGAGGACAGCATACTTTGATAATGTTTAAATATATTTTTCTTATTAGTTTTCCAACTTAGAAAGAAAGACAAGCCGCTTCAGACTAAAAACACAACATCCCTTTTAAAGTCAGAAAGTTTGGTGTGCGTGACATTTTACTGATCACACGAGGTGAAGCACAGGTCACTTACTTTATCATATCATTAACAATGTGACAGTAAGCCAGCATGAAAAGAAAATAAGTAGAGTTTATCAGTTTAACCCCTGCATTTCTTTTACTTGACGAGGTAAAATAAAGAAGCCAAATTGTTGTGTTGCAGTAGTTGGCAGTATCCACACTTGGATTGCATGTATTACAGATTCAGAGCTTCTTTAACTTTCTTTTATGGTTGTATTACAAAACAGTTACCAGCATAACTCACACAAAGATAATGCAAACTTCATGTTACTTGACAGAAATGTTCCATTTTAATGGCTACGCCACTTCTTTTAATTTGTCCCTTCATGGCTTGGAGGTGGTAGTTAATACCTGCTCAACTAAATCCCAGGAAAAGCAAATAAAGACACTGCAGTTTCCTCCCCTCCTGCCACATTCACACATACACATTCAGGCTGCGACACACTAACGCACGCTTGCACAAATCCCCTCCCTGCTCAGCCGGGGGTCACCGTGTCAGTTTATGATAGTAGCCAATTCTAGCAGGGATCATTTAATTCTCCAACATGATTGATACTAGCGCAGGTTAAATGGGAGAAAAAAGGTCTGTTCTATTAAGAGATCATTGGCTAGTGGAGACCTCCCACTTAAATAGTTATATTTTCAGTAGGTGTGTGCTTGCAGTGTGTGTCTGTGTGTGTCACTCAGTTTCTTGGTTATGTTGAAGGGACAGTTGCAGAGGACTATCCACAGGTCAAATTAAATAACCCAGGTAATTTAAAAAGCATTGACAGTGCAATTTGTCCATTCAGTGTTATTGCTCTGACCCCTATTAGTGTCGATGGGCTGGTTCATTTGAACCTGGATGGCTTATCGAGGTGTTATCTTCTCATCGCAATGGAAGCGGTGTAAAACAAAGAAAGAAAAAAGCCCTAACAGTCATTTCAAAGCCATTAGGTCAGACTGCAGTGATTGAGAAGCATTACGAGGCCTTAATGTTCTTCTCTATTATTTCTACTAAAATCATTTAGGGGTAAAAATTGCAGATGAGGAAGTAATTATAAGCCTATAAGCTCATAAGTGGAAAGGCAGAGATGTTACTGCTTATTAAACCGTCTATTCTATTAACCTTTCCAACAAAATGCGCCTCACTCCCACCCCACCGGATTATCAGGCAGAAGAGGCCCAGTGGGACCTTTGGCTGCCCTGAAACGACTCGATGGATGTTAGCACAGAGTCTGAGACACTTCCCACCCACACCACTGTAAGTTACTAATTTTGACAGTGCAAGGCAAAGTAAATAACATCCATCAGCTGGTTTGTTTACTTGGTGAAAGATGAGATTAAAATACATTTTACATGAATGATATTGTTTCAATCTTAGCTTTGTTTGAGATTTCGATCTTCTTTTTCAGTTTGGAGAAGATGTGTTGGAACATGAGCTGAATCTTTCCAGCTCACACTGTCAGACGGAGAGTGGGGGGAACATCTTACTACAGCTGCTGGAATTCAAAACCAATCTGCTCGAAGCCGTACAGGAGCTGCATATTCGGAGGGTAAAGTTGAAGTTGTAACCATGTCACTGTGAAGGCATTAGGGTACCATCTCCTTGAAGTATACTTTATTTTAATTTCATAATCAAAATCACGTCCTGTGTCATGGCTCTGGTGGCATTTTTCTGTTTCTCCATGGTGGTAAAAGACATAAGTACTTTTAAAAAAACTGTAACAAGTATAATAGACCAGTGATCCAATGTAGCCCAGTGTGGGCAGTGGTAGTACTGCGTTGAGAGTCATGCCTTGATCCCTTTCTCCATCTTCTATTAGCAGTAATTAACAGCAGCTTAGCTACAGAGTTCACTGATTCCTAACTTTCAAAAATCTACCAGCTCCAAGCAAGGTTCATCCATACTTTAAATACTGATCACATAAATTAGCAGAACATTTCATATTAATTTACCAAATTAGTGCAGTGAAGCTATTTTATTTAAATAATATCTGAGCTGGTTGGTACTAGAATGATACACGATACTGACTTATGCATAATTTCAAACAATACTAAAAGCAAAGATTTATAAGCAGATGCGTGTGTCAACACTGGTCATTATTAGCAGCGGCTTTCTGGGAATTACGCTGTGCTCGTTTAGGTTCGGAATTGGCTGACATGAGAGCTGTTTGAACTTTGAGGTGCCTTGTTATGTGTATTGTCTCTAGTATTGCTCACTTCCTCTATTCCTCTGTATTATATCACCATTTCCTGAGTAGAACTGAGACACTAATGACTCTGTTTGGTTGAAGAGCAGTGTAATTTCACAAATATATTGGTTATGTTGGTATTAGAGCATCCATAGAGAAAGCTAAGTGCCCCTTTGGCTACGTGGATTTAACCCTGCTGGATATGATGCACATTATGTCAAGAAAGAGGGGAGGGGGTCATATAAGCCTATTAGCCCTTAACCAATGAGCACAAAGTCAATTTGTTTGTAAAGAACTAACAAAAAGAATAAAGCTTTCTCCCCTCCAGCAAGTACTTTAAATCCGAGTGTGCTTAAAGGTTAGAGGAGCAAAAATGGGATGTTGGTCGTTGAGCTTTTATTGTTATAGTCATGTTAACTCAGACACAGACATTAGATGATATATCAGTCTGTTCCTCCTCAGGCACTGCCGTTATCAAAGTAGCACTTTGTAGTTGTGTCGTTCACGGGGGTGGGAAGGTTAAGAGGCAAGAGGATGTCATGATGGAGCCGGACATTCCTGAGCAGGTCAAATTCCAGCACTTTCTTTTTTTTAAAGTGGTGTAACCAGCGGCTTTAGTTGGTGAAGATGAGTCATAAATGGGGAAGAACTGCGAGTAAGATGAAATGTCACATTACATGAAATGCATGTGATATGAGATTTAGTGTGATCTGGAAACAGTGTCAAACTTTTTCCAACTCAAATTTTTATTCCCACAAACTTCCAAATGCCATTTTTTGTTTTTTAACGCCCAATAAAAGGTGACCATTCAGAACAGCAGTAAAAATGGTAAAAAGATGAAAAGTCGTAGATGAGATTGTGCAAGATGGCTTTTCGGCCTTCTCCTGATACACAGTTACCTGTTTTAATTTACATGGATTACTGATCTTAGAAAGGCTTTGCTGTGCATTTAACACATGCACTCACACATACACACAGCAATTATTCCCTGGTGGAAAAATAACAGCTTTATCTCCTGTGTACTCCTTTTTTCTTTTTTTTTGTGCCACGCTGGTAGCATACTTTAATAGGAACTTATAAAATAAGCTCGCTGAGTTAACCGGCTCCCACGTGCACATAAAAAAGTCCCCTGGATATAGTGAGCACTTGACTTTTACCTGCCTTCTCCAAGAGAAGAGGGAGGATAGGGATGGTTTTCCACAAATATCACCTCCCTTCTAATGTTCCCCCGTCACTGACTGCTTCCACAAAAGATACGCAGGACTGAACCAAAGAAACTTAAAGCACTTTGCAGTTTTGGCTCAACTCCACTGGCCCACAGAGTGAAAAAGATGAAGATTTTCAGACTGAATCACACCTTCTTAGTCACAGCTTTCCCGTTTAAATGTTCTTATCAGGTGTTTCCTGGTTGCTTGTCTAATTGTGAACTTACTGATGCCTGAGAGTCAGTTTTTTTGGTTTAGGATGCAGAAACCCGCTTTGAGGATCAGATCAGTAAGCTGGTGTTGGAGAAGCAGGAGATGGAATGGGAGAAGGTACAACTTTATTTAACAAGTAATATCAAAGAATAGATGAGATCATCAGTAACTTTCTTCCGTCTTCCCTTTCATTTGCAGGAATCCCTACAGCATCGAATTGAATCTGTGACAAAGCAACACACTGAGTCACTCACAAATCTTAAGAAACAGGTGTGGTTTTTATTCCTCCATTTTCATTTCTAAACAAGACTTTTAACAATGTATTAAAACCTTTCCAAATAATTTATTATCTTTTCTCAAGTTTCAGGCCAAATTAAGAAACACAGAGGAGGAAAAGGTACAGAACTCTTATTCCCCCAAACATCCCCACGATAGAGCATTTTATTCAATAAATGTCTTTAGAGGAGAAGTAAATTTACTCATCTCAGTTGCACAGTTTTGGCCCTCGGAGTGAATTCTTTTGTGCTGTGCTTTGGGCTTTTATTGCTTTTTTGACACTCAAAATGAATTTAACATTTCAGGGGAAATATCAGGTCATTGCTGAGTTAAAAGACAAGGAGATTAACAACTTAAAGGAAGAGCTGAAATCACTGCAGGTACTGAGTTGTTCAACATTCTTCTTTCTTCTCTATCTCTGTTTTATTGTAACATGCACACCATCAGCACCTTTTATCCCTTCTTTATTAAAAATAAGCAAGATAACACAGTTTAATCGTTAAACTGTTCAGAGAGACAAGTAAATAAAGAAAAGGCATGCTCGATCAGAGTCAAGGGTTCTGGTGCATGAGCCTGGCCCGCTCCGGCTCCCCTCTGCTCATCTTCAGACTTGACACCACAGAGGTGATAAACGATCGTACTCACGGTCCAACGCACTTTAACAACCCAGCCGTGTTACAGAGACAATAGAGACCGTTTTTGATATTCTATCTGGGAGACTCTGACTGCTGTGTTTGGATAAAATGAAGCCCGTTTGTGTTCAATCTTGTGACACGGTCTGGTGGATTCTTTAATTTAACACATTATCACACAAGTGACAGGTGGCACTGAAGTGATTTAATTGCCATGTACCTTGACTTATCTGCACACCACTGGTGTTGTATAGTTCAAGTAATGTGAAATATAAAAAGATTCATACACCAGCTATTTTAATTCTAGTAGAATTTTTTTTTCATATTCATAGTAATGTTTAAATTCATGCAAATGATAAATGGGGTATTATTGCCCCCAAACTTTACCTTTAGGACAATTTTTTTCTGTATTTTGGGGCAAAATATTTTGTTGTTGTTGTTTACATTTTATATGTTAAGAATAAAAAAGGAAACTATATTTTCTCCTGGCCTAAGACGTAATTTGGACAAAGTCAGTGTTTTTTTGTTTGATTCGTTGTTTGTAGGTGGAAGTAAGTATACAGTTTAAAGAAGCAAAAAAAAACAAAACACAACAATTTGGCAAAATGAGAAAACATCTGGTGGCCCTATCCAGGGTGTGACGGCCTCTTTGAGTCCTGTCAGTGAGGCGTTCATTGTGTAATAATCTATGCCAAAAGTCTATAAACGTGGAGGGACTTAATCACAGAGCCCGTAAAGACAGTGTATTTGAAAGTGAGATGTCTGCATGACATGATGGCAAAACAAAACATTTGGACATGCAGATGCAGAGAGAGAGTTACAGTACTGAAACAAAAGCGTATGTTGAGATGGGGCTTTGTGTCACATTACATGATCTTTATTTGGTAGAATTTTTGCATTTTTAAAAGATTGTAGATTCAAATGATTTCTTTTTAAATATGTTTTATGTTGCTTTTGTTTACCTGAACATGTTAAGGAAGTCTTTGCAACACAGGCTTCAAAGCTGAAATGTGAAGGGTTTTTTTTAAACTTTGGAAAAAGCAAGACTTGCTTTAAATTTCACTCAGTTGCTGCTGTTATTAAAAATGTGCCATCTTGATTCCAGATGTGTTGAAAACTGTCATGTACGATTGCAACATCACTTATTTCTATTTTCTAGAAGCCGCTCTCAAAAACAGGCTCGCTAATTTTCTTTTACTTCTGTCACACAGTTGCTGAAGTACAACTTGGAGAAGAAATCAAGTGAGCTGGTAAGGAAGGATTTTTCCATTTATACAAACTGTTGACAGAAGGTTGGTGGGAGGGGAGTAAAATTAAAAGAGGAGGATAAGGGAATGGTGCTAAGGAGGGATGGGTTTAGAGGGGAGAGCTCATCAGGAGTAACGGATAGGGAGTGTGTGACACTTTGAACTGCCAGCACAGCAGAGAAAATATCTCTATTAAAATATTTTATAACTGGGCCTCGCTCAGTTTAACCTTCTTCGCATGCCGGTGGCTCAGCAGAGTGAGAGGGAGTTGTAGAGATCTGGCGAAAAGGAGAGTCGGACAGATTGACTGAAGGGAGTGAGAATGAAAGAGAAGGGAGTGAGTGAGAAAACGGGAGAAGGAAAGAATCTGCTCAGCTTGATACACACAATCAAACTGTAATGGCAGTTTGAAGAGCGATAAAGCGCTCTGAAGCATGAGCCCACTTGATTCTTACATTTCACTGAAAGAGGCAGGCACTAACTCTGTCAAAGCATGATCCTCACTTTACTTGACAGCTGTTTCCACTGTTGTATGTCTTTATTTTGCAAAATAAGCTAGCTCCTTTTGCTGAGCCACGGCCATCAATCTGCTACAAGCTGGTAATAAAGGGGCAGCGTGGTGGTGAATAGAGGGTCCGTTCTGGATTTGAACCTCCTGGTGACCTGTAGTCGTTCTGTGATGAGTTTGTTTGTTCTCCCTGTTTCATCCAGAAGCTCTAGTTTCCTCTCACAGTCCAAAGACCTGCATGCTACGTTAACTGGTGTTTCTTATTTGGCTGTAGGATGTGAAAGTGTGTCACCTGTGTCTGTATTGCCCTGTGATGAACTGGCGACTTGATAAGTCTTTCTCTTAAGCCCCCAAGGTGGATAAGGGGTTTAAAAAATGGGCAAAGGAAGAACTGGAGTCAGGGTGAAATAGCTAGTCTGACCCCTACAAAAGTAAAACAGATCTGCATATGGGCATATCTGATCGACCAATTTACTTTTAAGGGGGAGGGGAGAGAAGCTGGGGACAGGCAGGTGGTGGTGGCTTTAAAGTCTAAGGAGTTTTGCTGTCACCATTTATCATTTGAAACCAGATATAACAAGTGAGGGGCGGATCAAACTGACAAACCGAGGGCCCTCATAGGTTCGAGACATGTCAGTCACATGTAGAACCATCCTCAGTGATATACAAACAGTCCCAGGATCTGTGTCCATTAACGGGCTGGGTCCTCCTCAACATATTTCTTCTTGTCTGTTTTAACTGTGGCCCCTCCACAGGAACAGAAACTGGCCTTACAGAGCCGGACAAAGGACGGCCACCTGAGCCAACTGGGAGAGGTGGAGAAAAGATTCAGTGCCTTGTCCAGGCAGTGTGCCATGGTCAAGCAGGCCCATGCCAACCTGGAGCAGAATGGTAATAGATACAGAAAGACAGATATATAAATTAATGTTCTGTATGATGATCACTCTAGGCTTACTAATGATCCCATGCAAACAATTATATGCACAAATCAGATCACGCATTTCACATATGTGCCGCTTCAGTTTGTCATTACTGAGTGTTATTAGGTTGTTTTCAGCAGAAGAGGTTCTGGTTTGTTCCCAGTATAGCCTGAATTCTCTTGGTTATAAATATAATAAGGTGCTGGAAACAGTTCACAGGGATCCTGGTACATCGTGACGTGATACAGTAGTATGTCTCTGCTCATGCAGAATTTTCAACAGCACATTCATTCCTGAGAAAATCTTCCTTCACATCATTCATTTCACTTTATCCTCGTCTTTGTTTTGGGGTCAAGATCTGGGTAATGCGCAAAGGTCACTGTCATGTTTCTTTAAATGCTCCTCTAGGAACACTTTGATAAGAGTAAACTATGAAGACATCTCCCAGGTCAGCAGTGAGGTTTAGTTTAGCACTGGGTTGCTATCTAGAGGCTTTATGTGAGCCAAGAAAATATTCCCACACCACCAACACCAGGCAGCCTGTCCTGCTGACACCAGGCAGGATTGATCCATCACATTATTTTCCTGCTCTTTAACTTTTTAACCTTGCTGTCTACTCATCTAACATACTTTCCTCTTTTTCCTGTCAGCTAAAGGTAGAGTTTTTGTCAATGAAGCCCAGATGTAGTCATGTTTAATGAGACGTGTGTTCTTAAAATGACCTTTTGCACAACACCAGCCTCAATTTTTAAGCCCAAGAGGCATTTTTGGGCCAAATATTGGGATTATTTTAGTGTCTGTTACAATTAGTGGTAAACCAACTGCAACGGGAAATCCACTTCATCTTGTGTCCTGTTGTTTAGTTTTTTCATTTAATTTGTGATTTAGATGGGAATCCTTCCTGTTTGCCCTCATGTATAAGCTGTGTATGTTTCATGCTGCACTATGTGTCAATTTTCCAGTTGATGAAGCCATGAGAATAAACAAGAAACTGACTTCTGCTAATGAAAAACAAGCAGCAACCATTGTGTCACTAAAGAAGGTATGGGGCCAAGTGGTCTAGCATTTAGATTGTTTGAGGCATTTTTGTGATTTTCCTTCTAAACTTTGTACCATTTGGCGTTATCAGTTAAATATCAGCCACTAAAATGTATTGTTGTTTCAAACTAGAAGATATTGAGGGTATTATTTGAGTTGTCCAGTGGCCTGAGTAGTTTGTGAGGCATCAGCTTGACTAATCCTGTGATTCTTATGGTGTCCTGTCAGGAGTTGGATGAAGTCAGTAATGAGCTCAGCAAGGCCAAGATGACTTCAGTTAGACCGGCCAAACCCTACAGTCCCACAGGCAGAGAGCAGCATATACAGCAGCTGCACCAGAAGCTAAAGTTGGTAAATGATGGTCATTAACAGAAATCGTGTTTTATTCTAGCAATTCACAGCCAAATGATCCCAGGTTCAAATCCCATTCTGTGTGAAGTTTGCATGTTAGCCCTGCAAAAGTGTTTGCCGCTGCATAGTACATGGGATAAGCTCCAGCCCCACTGCAACCCTTATTTAAATAAGCAGAAGAGGATAGATGGATCGATTGATTAATGCTGAAAAATCTAATCCAGTTCTGACACAGACAATATTTATTTTTTTTGTATGGTTAGGAAACTGAAATGAACAAGAAGCTAAGGGAGGAAAATGCAACTGAACTAGCAGAAAAGCAGGTAAGGACCTGGAACATGACTAAACCTAGACAGCTTTAATGTTGAGTCTCTTCTTTCAGTGAAATTTTGTGAACGTGATTGTTTTGGAAACTCCTTTGAAGTATTTCCACTTTTTATGATGTCAAGGTTCAAATAAACCAAAATCAAGCCCGGTCAGTTTGTGCGCCATTATTGTGTTTGTGTCTGTGTGTGGTTTAGGAGGTGATACGGTCTCTGCAGCACACCCAGCAGCTGTTGCTGAGTCAGACGCAGACAGTGAGGAGAGTAGAGTTGGAGCTACAGACACAAAGACAGACGTGCGAGGTCAGAGTATTTCATCCTGTACTATTTTGTGGATGTAACTCTTCACATGTATACATGTTAGCCAAGACTTCCCTCTTGCCATGCCTTGGTAGCCTTTTTCTGAATTGGCTTCACTTTTCAGACAAGGAGATTACATCTGTGGGGGTTCACATGTAGTGCATTTTAAAAATAACTCAGTCCCCTTACAATTGCTGTCATTCAAAAAGTGGATCAGTAAAAAAAAACAACTTGGTTCTTTTTGCATTTGCGTTATAATAATGAGCTCATTTGAAAAGTCACTTTACAGAATACAGGCAAGTGAAAAGTACTTCTCACTTACCTGTATTCTGCACTAAATTCCTACCAAAGTTCCTTATCTTCATGTGATGGTAAGATGGAGAAAAAGTTTCTAGGTGTTCTGGACAGTTCCAGTTTGATGTGTTCTTCAGTTCCTCCTGCACACCAAACTCTCATTCAGCTTTATTATTATTTTCAAGGGCAACTGTTTTTTGTCTGTTTGCTTTGAGCATCTCATTGCAGTTGCGTGTGATCTGTCTGTAGTGTCTCTGCAGACCTAAATTACAATCCCCGATAATGAAACACATGTGAAGTTTGCTTTAACAGATCAAAAGAGAGAAAACAGCTAATATGCGTATCTGAGTGCCCGCTTGAAATTACCTCCACCAAGGAGTTTCTGGTTTGAAGGCATTTGTGTGCATGTCATTCTGTCTGTAAATACAATAGCTTGAAAACTTTAGAATGAATTCTGGTGAAACTCTGTAGGGGTGTAGAGTGGAGTTTACACCCATTCTGTCATGCTAATCTCCAAAAGTTGATTCTGTTCATCTGGACGTAGCGTTTTGTGGGAGAAACGTTTCGTCACTCATCCAAGTGACTTCTTCAGTCTCAGCTGACTGCAGGTTTCCAATCTTATAAACAGTACATTTGCATAATGACTGAAACCAGCCCACTGAAGGAACAATGGGCTGGGAGGTCAGTTCCTTAATCATAATTATGCAAATTCTCATGACCATTGATCAACACCACTGACCAAAACCCACTGACCAAAACCCACTGATCAAAGACCACTGATCAATGGCCATGAGTACCATTCACAGAGAGTTGGGGAATGGCTGCAATCACAGCATTGTAAGATGGTGACAGATGTACCCTTAGGCCCCCTCCTCGATTCAGAGATGGTCTTTCCCTTTTCACGTAAATGGCCTCCTTGACTCCGCGCTCAAACCAGCGTTCCTCCCTGTCCAGGATGTGTACATCCTCATCATTGAAAGAGTGTCCACTGGCCTGTAGGTGTAAATAGACTGCAGAGTCCTGGCCTGACGAGGTAGCTCTTCTGTGTTGTGCCATCCGCTTCGCCAGAGGTTGTTTGGTTTCCCCGATGTATAAATCCTGGCAATCCTCCTGGCACTTAACAGCGTACACTATGTTACTCTGTTTGTGTCGGGGGACCCGATCCTTGGGGTGGACCAATTTTTGGCGCAGCGTGTTTTGGGGTTTAAAAGCCACAGAGACCCTGGTGTTTAGAAAAAATGCGTCTCAACTGCTCCATTCCTTGACACAATCCATGGGATACACAGTTTTCGGGCTTCTTGAGTGCTGTTCTTCTGCCTCCCTGGCCGCTGTGTCAGTGGGGATGGTGTTCGCTCTGTGTTGTAGCGTCCTGATGACACCCAGTTTGTGCTCCAGTGGATGATGAGAGTCAAACCTTAGAATACTGATCCGTATGTGTAGGTTTACGGTACACGTCAGCTTTTAGATGTCCCCCATTACTGATGGAAATCTCACAGTCTAAGAAGGCTAACCTGCCACTTTTCATATCCTCCCTGGTGAATTTGATGTGTCGGTCCACCGAGTTAATGTGATCCGTGAAATGTGGTACGTCCTGAGATTTGATTTTCACCCAGGTGTCATCCACATATCTGAACCAATGGCTTGGTGGTGTTCCAGGGTAGGATAGCAAAGCCCTCTTTTCCACTTCTTCCATGTACAAATTGGCCACGATGGGTGAAACTGAGGGAGCCCATGGCACACCCATGTTTCTGCCTGTAGAACTGACCCTTGTATGTGAAGTAGGTGGAATGAAGACACAGTTCCAAGCAAACACACTTGGTTCGATGCTGAGAGTGGTCCTGTTGCTGAGGTTGGGGTCATCCTGTAATCTCTTACGGACTACCTCCAACGCTTCCGTGACTGGGATGCAAGTGAAGAGAGATGTAACGTCGTACGAGACCATGGTTTCATCTGCCTCCATAATGACATCTCTCACCTTCTCAACAAAATCCAGGGTGTTCTGGATGTGGTGTTCAGAGCTGCCCACCAGCGGGTTGAGGATCGAAGCCAGAAACTTGGAGATGTTATAGGTGACAGAGTTGATCATGCAGACAATCGGTCTTAAAGGTGCACCCTGTTTATGTATTTTCGGTAAACCATACAGACTTGGTGTAGACTCCCCTGGGTACTAGCCTGTGGTATGAGGTCCGGTCAATAGCCTTGTCTTGTTCTAACTGCTTCAGACAGTCTATCACCCTCTTCCTGTAGCCACTTCCTGGGTCTCGTTTCAGGGGCTTATAAGTATTTTCATCACTGAGTAGTGACAAAATCTTCTCATGATAGTCTTTCTGGTTTAGCAATACTGTGCACCGACCCTTGTCTGCTGCAAGGATGATAATGTTGTTGTCATCACTAAGTGATGTGAGTGTCTTCCTCTCCTCCATGGTGATGTTGGATGCTGGGGGCTTTGCATTGCTGAGACAGGCCGAAACTTTCGTCATGCTAAGTAAATAGTGCCCAGAGAGAGAGCTACATTTTGGAGTGCTTCTTGTTTATTAATGTGTTAGATTGGATAATTATGTCCAAACACACATTTCAACCTTAATCACACATTTAGAAAAGTGTTGCAAAGAAGAAAAGAATAGAAATGTAAAGTGTAAATCAGAAATTAATCTCCTGATTTATTTTTAACTGGTGTATTCATGTTAACTATCATATACTGTATGTAGTACAAATATTGGTAAGCATCACTGGTAAGCAAAATTGATTTAATAATAACAAAGTTTTTTTTGCCTACAGGAGAGAAAAAATTAGCTCCAGGTGTGTCTTTGTTTATCAATAATAAGGAAGAAATAGAAGAATTTATCTTGTTGATTCTTACAAATTACAGTCATACATTTAAGCCACATTTAACAAAAAATTTGGGGCGAATGAAATTTATCCTTACAGACTCTGGACTTTAAAGTTAGTGCGATTTCAGTCCTTTTATGTTAGAATACTTTAATTGGTTTTTGTGTGCAAAAACAAAAATAAATGCCAAACTTATAGTAATGACATGTCTGTTATCCCACTTCACCTTTGTAGAAACCTCCTTTTCATGCACGTTGGAGCTTTGGCTGATAGAAAATGTGATTTATGTCTCCAGATAAAACCCTGCACCACCCATTGGTCCCACACAGATCAGAAATTTTTCAGGGTCTATTTAAATGATTATAGAGTAAATTTATGCAAAGACCAAAATGAATGACAACCATTGTTCCTTCCCATAAACTTGATGAATGGGATGTTGTATATCACAGCATGTACATGTGTGAATATAGTCGGCTCCACAACTGAATGATAGTGTGTTTATTCTGCATTTATAGCTTTAAAGTTTATTGTTCTCTTTTCTTCTCTCTATACCACCCCCTCTCATTTTAATTCACCTATTCATTAATTTATTAAAATCATTATCAAAATGACACAAGCCAACTGATTTGTATTAGCAAGAAGTCCTCTCTCTGCCTGCCCTGTTTAGAACCCCCTGTTCACATTAAATAAACACATAAAAATTTAGTATTGCACTAAAACCACATGGGCGATTAATTTTACTGCAGGCCCTTAAACAGGAACATGAGGTGATGGGAGAGCAAAGCAAGGCAATGGAAGACAAGGTGGCCCAACTGATGGAGAGCTATGCTGCTTCCAAGACCAGCTGGGACAAAGAGGTAGAAGAAAAACTGTGCTGTGGGAGAAGGCATTGTGATGATAGTAGCACATATTTACAGTGTCCGTCAGGCTGGACTCTTCTATAGCAGACTTAATGTGTATATGGGAAGATGCCAGAAAATCATACAAGCTCATTTAAAATCACATCTTTCATTTGTCTGTGTGGGTAAACAGAAGACGAAGTTTCTGGATCACCTCAAGACACAGCAAGAAGCCCTTCAAGCACTGAAAGAGGCTTATGATGATCTTCATCAGAAACACGCTGAGCTGTCCTTACAGGCCAAATCACATGAACAGCACACACATGAAATGGAGGTATGTATCCAAAAACACCTGTAGGGGATTACACGTGTCATGTGAGGCAGGAGTGACAGATGGGTACGGGGGGCTACAAATGACAAATAACGACACTGTGATTTGTAGCGGAAGTAGTGAACAGATGAAAGAGAGCCTGGAGAGGTGGAGGTATGCTCTGGAGAGAAGAGAAATAAAAGTTCGTAAAAACAAGCAGATGTAACAGGGATGCTCCAAGGAGAAGAAGCAGTGATGGTGGATGAATTTAAATGCCTGGGGTTAACCATTCAAAGCAATGGGCAGTGCACAAGTAATGTGAAGAAGAGAGTGTAGGCAGGGTACAGTTGTTGGAGATGAGTGTCTTGGGTGATTTGTGAAAGCAAGAGTGAAAGGGAAGGTTTGCAAGATGGCGGTGAGACCTGCTGCTATAGAGACAGTGGTGCTGAAAAAGGACAAGAGGCTGAGCTCCAGATTAAAGCACAAAGGGGATCAGGTCTGTGGAGCCAATTGTCCCTAACATCAGGACATCTCCAGTATTAGATGCTTTCAAACCCCGTATGTATTTTTTGGCTTTTAAATCAGAATGAGTTTGAAGTACTTTCATTTGTGCTGTTTTTACACAGCTTTATATTTCATTTAACTCTGTCATTTTTCTCCTGTGTTTTATTTGATTTGATCATTTTAGATATATAGCATTTTGTTCAACAGCTGTTGTTTTTAAATGTCCTGTAGAGACGAACTTTACTTGATTTGAGTACATCAGAGAGACAGCTCAGGTTCAGTGTTTCGGAGGCAGAGTTATAGCGGCAAGGCTGACGGTTGGACACGTACAGGGGAGAGATAGTGGATACACTGGGCAAAGGATGCTAAATATGGGGCTGCCAGGCGGGAGGAAAAGAGGAAAAGAAGATTCATGGATGTTGGTGTGACAGTAGAGGATGCTAGGGATAGGGTGAGATGAAGAAGAAGAGAGTTTCTCTTAACAGAACACAATAAACACTTTTCTACAACTCTGTTTTTACATGGAAAAACTCATCACGCAGACTTTGTACTACTCAATTGATAAGTTTAAAGTATTTACAGGGGACCTTCACTTTTTTCTACCAATATCTGTACTGTTGCAGTGTTGGATGATTATATTAAAAATGAAAAATAACTAAAGTGAAAAATTAACAGGTTGTGTTTTCAGCAGTTTTGACAGAAAGTGAAATACATGTGCTGACTTGCAGAACGTTAAGTACTGCAAAGCGGTCCTCTCATTTATTAGACAAACCTTTCAAAACAGACCAGAGTCAGCACTTGAACATTCAGGGATAAAGAAACCAGGAACAGAGCTCACTATAATATTTTTCATAATATTCTGATTTACAGCTATGGGAATAATGTTAATAACAGCAGGTGTAGCTGATGTATAGTAGGTGAGTTTATAAGAGAAACTGTCATGTGAATGCATGCATGTTTATTTTTCTTTGCACAGGTAAGAGACAGCAGCCAGACACTCAGTGTTTCTACCCATCCCACCTCTGTGGAGGAAGTTAGAGGCGAGGAATCTGTAAGTGAACGCATCTCCAGATCTAAGCTTCCCGGCTTTGGCAGTCTGCAGCACTCTGTCTCCTCTCAGGCCAAAATTCCAGACCGTTTAGAGGACACAGCAACTGGAACTAAGATACTTGCCACTGCAGAAACTGAAGGTCAGCACACTAAATATAAACATACAGACGATAAATATGTTCTAAGACACTATGAGACAGTCATTTTCTTATTTTTTCTCATGCGCGTTTTATTCTCTTTTAGGTCAAAAAGTCCCAAAACAACAGTCACAAACAATAAAAGAGCCTTTAAGCCACCTAAAAATGCCCAGTTGTCCACTTACCATGAATTTCAGCTCGTGTACTTTTTCTGGGACAGGAGCCACAGAGGCCATAACATTGAACAAAGGGGTTAACAACTCGAAAAGTGAACACAACCCTGATGTGCTTTCAGATCTAACTAATACTGCTCTCTCTGTGTCTGATGATGATACCCACTTTATCAGAGGTTGCTCTGCGAGTAGTATAACTGCATCGAACTCCGATTACAGCTCTCTCGGTGAATCTGCAGATTTACCAACAAACATGAAAAATAAAGGAGACGACACAGGAATGAATGAGAAAGAACATGAGGAGAAGGACAGCGGGAAACAAGGAAATAGCCATAGAGAAGAAGAGGAGAAAAATACAGGACAGCTGAGGAATAGGGAAGACGATCAAGGAGAAGATGTGAAGGAGGGAGGACGTGCTGGAGAAAAGAGAGGAACAGCCATGGCACAAACAACAGATAGAAGAAACAGGCGAGAGGACAGTGAGGGGTCAGCAAAGGATGCTGGAACAGAAACAAAAGATAGAGCGGATGGAGCGAAGGAGAGAGAAAAGACAGCAGTGCAGACACCACAAACACAGATACGAGCCCAGACGATCACTGATATGACTGCTGAAAAGAGCCACACACTGCAGGTCATTGACTTCATGGGCGCTGAGCCGCCTGTGGATGTCTGTAAACCCTCAGACTTCACACAAAGTCTCTGTCAGAAAGTCAGTGAAAAGGATGCTGAATGCAAACATTTGAAGATCCATGGTGAGACTGGAAGAGATGGAGAACTTCAAAGTGTTAGCTCTGAACAACAGGAAGTTTCAAATTTGTGTCAAAACGAGGTTCAAAGCTCAGACGGAGACACAGGATCACTAAGTCAGCCTCCCACCAAAAAAGCAGGGGAGCTTTCTGCTGGACTTTCTGAACACCTGAAGCAGTTGAGTACCTCACAGACAGACGATGCCGCATCAGCTGGTCACTCAAATGGTTTTCACAGCGCTGAAAACTTGGGATCATGTCAGACACATACAGAAACACGTACTCCTTCTGATGTTATTTCAGATATGACGCAAACAAATGAAATCTTTGATGTACCTTTGAGTGAAAAACTGGCAGAACCTGAGCAGCTGCTGGAAAGCTTAGAGCAGAAAGATGGGCAGTGGAAGTCTGTGGTAACTGTTGAAGGAAAGGGTGATCCAAGTGTAGAGAACAGAAGAAAAGATGAATCAAGTGTAGATACGAATGTCTATCAAACACCTATGGAAGAATCCCACTTAAAAGATGGCAATGTTAATATTACGATGGGTGCCATAACCCTTGATTCTGAGGTAGAAACCAAACACATGAAAAGTGAGCATATAAAGGACACAGAAGATACAAAGAAGACTAAAAGTGAAACAGATCCGAAGCTGCCACTCGTTACAAGTCTGGGTCACAAGCAGCCTGAGTTAGGAGAGAAGCTGCTGAGTGATTGTGGCGAGTTGTCTCTGCCCAGCAAAAAGACTTACAGGCCATTATTTGAGTGGGCCGCTGCCGAGAGAAGAAAGTCAAACTCCAGAACAAAGTCAGATGTCACCATAGCGCACCAGCCAATCCAGGTATTAGAATCAAAAGGTTGTAGCGTTTTCAAGCTGTGTGATGAAAATATGTACAACAGTTTCAAAAGTCATATGATGCTCATACAGGACTAACTAGCTACACTAACCTAGAGAAGTGCAGTTAATTTTAGTTTGTAATCGTAACAATTTTTTGACATTCGGATGTAGAAATGCTTTAAAGCTGTGGTTAGTTTTATATCAGTTAAACTCTTGGTGTTTTTTTTCCAGAATACAACTGCTGGATTCCCAGGACATCCTGCCAGCACAATAATACCCAAGCCCCTCAAAAGCAAACACGACAATGGTGGTGGTTTATCATTTCTCTAAGGAGCACAGAAACTGCTCTGATGCATGACTAGGAACATCTTACACAGTGAATTCATTGTCCGTCTGCGTTTCTTACCATTACTAATCATCATTCATTCTTGCTTTCTTGCTGTTCTTGCCATCTCACCTCATTCCTCTTAGTCCCCTTGGTGATTATGAGGGCGTCAGACCTGTTGAATGCCTCCAGTGTCTGTGGGACCGCACCTTCCCTGAGGAGAAAGCAGCAGGGACTCTGGGAAGCAGTGCAGGAGACCTGCAGAGAGAGAACAGCAGCAGATACGGTCAGTTGTTAAGAAGTAGGGAATTGCTGGTACGACACTTTAGAAGGTGGTTCATTTATAACTGTGAGAGTTAATAATCATATATGTATGTCACAGAAGTTATTTTAAAATAGCTTGTAAAACACTAGTCAAGTGATAAAGCACAGCTCATGATTTACATACCTTTACATTTGAGAGCTTTATTGATGAGTCCTCACTGTGCGAGCTGCACTTTGGAAAATTTAATTTCAGCTGCTGAAGCCTGTTTCCAAGTACATTTCATCACAGTGAAGCTTTAATCGTGTTCTCTAGTACAAGTTGATGTTGAGCAGCAGGAAATGGCCACAGTGTCGTGTTCACATAGAAATGCGTGCCCCCCCCTCAGAGGACATCAGAATGACCGTTATAAAAGGGTTTTCTCTGTCGAGGTCATTGCTGTTCCACAGATTCAGAGCTTCATCATTTTATAGAATGTGTCTGAGTGGAGCCCGTGGGAAATTTGAGCTGGAGCTTGAATGAATATGCCCGTTACAACAGCCTGACATGTCCTCAGAGGAACTAGATATTAAAATGCTCTTTCAACATTTTTGTGGTCCTGGACTTTTAGAATGTAGGAGAACTTGTTTAACAGAGTACGCAGAATATCTGACAAAGATTTCAGAGGTTTCAAACTTTCCTGCTCTTTGATTAATGTTCGGTCAGGTGTTGACCGAATGGATGTGGCTTGATGTATGTTGAGCTCATAGACAGCCAGACAGACAGAGAACAAATGACCTGTGGAAGAAAAAGTACCTAATGATGCCTGGGTACCTCGCCTCTCTCACTCACTCAGTCTCTGGTCTCCGCTCTCGCTCTGTCTTCCTCTCTCACTTCATCATTTGTCCCTCACTCACTTTCTCCACCCTCTTGCTGTTTCACTTTTTTAAATTCTGTTTCACTTTTTCTCTCTCACACGCTCCCAAACTCTTTTGTCACCATCACCGCACTGTCACTCTGTGTTTTATACAATCCAGGTGCTCGCAGTTGAGGGAGATAGGCTGCAGCATGACTCGAGTATGAGGGGAAAAAACAAACTCATCTGATAGTTTAACAAATTGTAAAGAAGACCAAAGCGAAGAGTTCTGGCTGCTCTCTCTGGGCTGGATACAGATACAAATATCAGTTGTTACTGCTTATTGTTTATCTGTCTTTTCTTTTCTTATGAAGGAATTAAGCATTGAACTGACATTTTTGTACCAAAAAAAGACCAAATGGTGGTGATAGATTCCTGCCTTATAGGTGCTCCAGGTTGATCACAGTCTGTGGGCTTCTGCTTGTCCGCTTGATTTTCAGAATTGGCCATAGATTGCAGATCAGGGGAGTTACTAGGTTGTGAATCCACATTGTTCATTTGATATTTCACTTTATCAGGACTAGATTGCGATCACTCAGGATTTGGCCTAGAAGCATGCCACAAAGAACTGAAGGAGAAGGTTGAACACTATGAATACTCACTCTTTTCATACATTTGGTTTATCTGCCAGTAATAGTCCAAATCCTATAGAAGAATCTTTGTGTTTCTTATTTACTGTATTATCTCAAACTATTATATTATAGAATAATAAATATGAAACACAAACTTTGTGTGACCACAATCACAGCTTTCTCACAGTGGATATTTGGTGATATCTACTGTTTGTCGTCATTTTTATGCAGGATGGCAGAGCTCCTCCGCCAAGCTGTTCTTTTCCAGCCTCCAGCACAGGCAGCAAACTGTCATGGCAAACCACTGCAGAGTGAGTATGTTTGTTCTTTAGAAACAAGACACCAGCATTTGAACCAGAGTAAATGTCAAAGTAAATAAATAATAATGGGCAAATTTCATAGCTCATATCTTTGTATCTACACACCTGAATGAAAATGTTCTTCACTAACGTTTTGGCCCATTCAGTAGTTAACCAAAGTATTGACAAAAAACAAGAGGGTTTTTTTTTTTTGTTTTTCTTGGTTAAAAATTATATTTTAGAAGTTTTAGAAGTATTCTTATCATCTTATTCTATTCCAGCGTTTTTCTAATTTTTGCTATGTAACTTTGCACTCTCCACTTTCTGCTGTAACAAATCAAATTTCCCATGTGTGGGACTAATAAAGGTTATTTTATCTTATTATCTTATCTTAAACATTTTCATTTAAGTGCATTACTTCAGTCTAATGGTAAGGAGAATTTGTATAGCTTCATTTGAAATGTGTATTATTACATGATTAATAATATGATTACTGACTACAAACAAGTTCATGCTAGTGTTTTCTTTGAATCAGGTGTAGCAGAGCTCCTACCTTAGCTGCAGGACCTAGTTCAGAGTCCAACTGGGAACTCTCCTGCTCCCAGGAGAGGGGCGATCAACAGGAATCATTCAGGGCACAGATCTCCAAAATCGAACAGTTCCTCGAGACAGAGAGGCTCCGTCTGCCCAAAAGACAACGAACTGAACCAAATCTGTAGAAACTGCTGGTCGTCTTTATTCGCTGTCCTAGGTGAGACATTGTGTGGCACACGTTTGACAGTTATTGTTAGCGCAGGTCTAAATGTTCTGAAACACAATTGCTTTTTAATATATACATGTGTTACTGATTCCTTTGAACTGTATAGTTTCTTCTAACATTGCTGTTTGAAGTTTAAAGTTTTTTGGGTCAAATCATTAATTCTTCACTTTATTGTTATTTTAACATTTCTGTGCTTTAAATGGAAAACTGCAGAGTTTGTGTGTTTGTTTCACACGTGTGTATTTTTATGTTTTTAAGTGAAGAGATGAAAATAAGATAAGATAGCCTTTCTAAGTGACAAATATACAATACTACTACTGCTACGTTGGTAAGATTTTATTTTATCACACAGTTGCATGTGATTTAAGTAATTTTAAAAAGGCTCTGATGTCACAGTGTACAAATTCCAACATTTCCAATCTCTTGTAATTTCATTAAATTACAGGGTTATCAGTTGTTTTCAAAATATTGTATACAAAGACTTTAGATACACTACAAGTTTCTGCAGCCTCACTGACACAACACTGACTCATCAAACCACACAAACAGGACATCGGTATGTGTTGAATGTCTTTTACTGGAAACATTATTCACAGTAAATCATGCATTCACAGCAAACAGCTGGATAAGTAAGGACCAAGAGCGCTGTTGCCCATTAAAAAGGCTGGGAACATGCTAATTAACATTAATTAGCATCATAGCCAATCAGTGTGGCATGTCTCAGAGGAGCTCTAATTGTGGAGGCACCTTTGGTCTACACCGTGTTGTTTCTGCTGCTGCTGTTGTTGGAGGCAATTACAACTCGGGACACTCTGGTTTGACTGTGTTTACACCTATTAAATTAACAGAAATAACAGTTCAAATAACAATTAGCACTAAATACCCCAACCCTAATTAACCAAAAATCAATTAGTGAACACACAGTCCAATTAACACGTACTAACAAGCCTCTCGTTAACTTTATGTTCCCTGTGAGGATGATGGCGGAAAGAGCATATGGCCCCACAAGAGCATGAAGCAGCTGACCACACATGTTTGGATTCTCATTAGTCTGGTTGCTGCTTATGTACTCTAGACGTGTGGCATTTGGCTTCAGCTCACTCGCATCAGGTTAGTTTAAGTGGGTTTGAGAGTGTTGGACAAAGAGGTTTTTGTAGTATATAGACTGTCTAGATGCAAATTTCTATTAGCAAACTGATCTATTAATACATCTGACTGACATCAGTGCAGTTTGTAGCCCTAATTTTCAGCTGTCACACAGATACACAATGCTTTTTTACAGTATCACCTTCAGAAGACGAGATAATTTCAACATTATAATGTGCTGTTACGCATTTTTGACTTGGTGATAATGTGAAGACATAAAAATATATTACTTCACTTTTTAAAAATTACTTTTTTATTACCTCACTTTTTGTAGGTCACCATATTGATGCAAAAAAATATATATTTTTTTAATATAGCATAACAACATAGTATGTAAATATAATGCAAGCATAATACCCATCTGTCAATTTTCCAGCACTCATCTAGGGCCAGGTCACTGGGGCAACGGTCTAAGCAGAGAAGCCCAGTCCTCATTATCTTACCTGCATAAACAGAATAACGCAAAGTTCAGTGTTGCAATGCTTCCCGTTTAACTTCTTACCTGTGCCTGATATGCAGTGAGTCAAGAGAATTGCATGACACTGCCTGAGAGCATCACTCATATAGGGCTAATTGTTTTGGTTCATAACGTTAAATGGACTCATTCTTATATAACGCTTTTCTACTCTCCCAGAGTACTCAAAGCGCTGTATACAACATGCCACATTCACCCAATTACACCCATTCTCACAAGCACGGACTCTAAACTAAGTGATTTTCTAATGACATTCACACACATTCACACTCGGATGGATGCATCGGAGAGCAACTTGGGGTTAGTATCTTGCCCAAGGATACTTGGCATGCAGACTGGAGGAGCCAGGGATCGAACCACCCACCTTCCGATCAGCAGGGGACCTGCTCTACCTCCTGAGCTACAGCCACCCCACATTAGATTCTGTCTTTAGCTTTAAATCCGATACACGGGACTTTGAAGCACATAAAGATATAGTTTTGTTTTCATTACTGTACTTTGACACTATGCTGTGAAACATAGGTTAGCAAAAGTTAACCATTTGGCTGTGGTAATTGACCCTTATGACTCCCCCATGCCCCAGAGCATGCCTACCAACAGATCCACAGCAGACCTTGTTGAAGTTATAAGAAAAGACTCGAGCTTTCACCATATTTCTACTCGCACGCTAAAATTAACAGCTAACATTTCAGTGGTGGTAAAATGGCTCAGCTTGATCCATCTTACTACACTTACTGATAATGAATACGTCTGAACCTTAATGCACTCATAAAGAAACCTGGAGCATTTGAGTGGCTGTGCCCAACACTGCTGACCCTTATCCGTATTGGGAGGACGGGAGATGATGGGAGGAGAGGTGGGGGAGGTGTGGAATATAAAAGAGTTAATTTTAATGCGCTCGTGGTCGCAAAAACTCATACACGATCTATATTTCTCACTCATACAGTTTTTGCCTCTCCTCTTTTACATAAGCGTGCACATGGCCACATACACACATACAGTCTCTGTTATGAAGTGTTGGCACTTTGAAACAGTCAATTACCCTCTGGCTAGGGAGGATACCTGCTGTTAATTACTGCTCAGTGTTTTATATGGAGCGTAAATAAAGAGACCGCTGACATTCACATTCCATCAATGCGTCCCCCAGCTCACACTGCATTGTGTGTGTGTGTTATTTGAGTTTAAAATAACCCTTGTGAGGTAGGAACCATGGGGAAAAAAGCATTTTGGAAAGAACGGGTAGAAATCCTCCAACCTGACCAAAAAGATGCTGTTTCCCAGTGAATTTGCCTCATAAGACTAAATCCTGAAATAGTACCCCTGCACAGATATGCAGTATAATATATGCAGTTAAGATTTTGGTTTATAGTAATGTTGAGCTGGGGTTGGCAATGGCAACCTTCCATTTTAAACACAATTTGTTTTTACCCTTCCATCTACCCCAGCCTCCTCCTTAGTCCTAAAACACAGTCAGTCTTCAGTCCCAAATGTGAATCTGATAAACTTCGATCATCAGTTTTTAATGCATGTTGACTGTACAGTGATAATAACTATAATGAATCAGGGCCATGATACATGTCTATTATTGTTTTGTTATATCTCCCTGTCATTGTTATGAGTTATGAGTTGGTCCCCCTGAATTCATCCCAGGTTATCTTTAGTTGCAATTATACACTGTACATAGTGGGAAACATTGGACCACTACTTTGAAGCCACAAATAAAGGTATCATCATCCTTCTGTCATATTGGTAAACTTTTAATTTGTGTTTAGTAGAGTGAGGTTCTTGAGCCAAAAATGCCATTCATACGTCTCCATATAGGGTTTTAATTATGAGCCATAATGTTGTAGCCATCTAAAGTTGACTTACTATATGCTTCAAAACTGGGAAACAATGATATGTGTCTTGTAGAAATTGCCATAAGATATCAACAACCAACCAATGTGATGTCAGACAAAATATCTACTATATCCATAATCCTAAAGGGAAGCAAATACATCTCTGATTAGTGGAGGTCACTGTTGCCATGGAAGATTTTAAAGATGTGACAAAAATTTCAGAAACTGTAATAGCAGTGATTGCAATCAGTTGATGAAGCACTGTACTATATCGATGACGGGGCTATATATATTACTTTGCTACACACAAACAGCAAAATATATTTAAAAAATTCCGGTTTTATTTATGTAGTGCCAAATCACAAAAACAGTTGCATCAAGGCGCTTTATATTGTAAAGACCCTACAATAATATAAAGACAACAGAGAAAAACCCTTATAATCATAAGACCCCTATGAGTAAGCGCTTTGGTGACAGCGGGAAGGAAAAAATCTATTTTAACAGGAAGAAACCTACAGCCGAACCAGGCTACGGGATGGACGGCAATATTCCGTGAGCAGTTGGGGTGAGGAGGGGAAGACAAGACAAAAACATGCTATGGAAGAGAGCCAAAGATTAATAACTAATAATTGATATTATTATCAAAAGTCCTATTATGCAGCGCTGCAATAATGAAAAGAATTTCATTTGAAAAAGTTGGAAATCATTATGGGATTTGCAAAAACTTTTGGGATGAGTAGCTCCTTCACTGTTAAAAGAAATTATTCACACAGTCCTGTGTCTTTTTATGGTCATAACTCAACTGGTAGCTGGCTGCTTTAGTTCAAGACAATCAACGGGTTTCTTTGCTCTCACTGGTAGTAGCTTCAATTGCTTGCTTCAAAGTTGAGAAAAGTTTAACTTAGGACAAGACTGGCGGTTATTTCATCACTTTCTGTGGTCTGTCGCCACCACATGTCTTCTAGTCACTTCCTATGTGGATGCTCCATACAGGCATTTGTATAACAGGCTAAAAAAGAGGCAGATAACCACTACTGTGGCACAGATATAGGCTTATTAGTGCATACAAATACATACAGGATACAAATTAAATTAGCATCTTACCGATACCAGATTAAAAACCAATCCAGTATTTGAGTTTCCACAGCAGTTATTGTTTTACTTGTTTACACTCTGCTTGAGTTCACTTGGATCAGCTGGTTGTCGTGTTTGTGACGTTTCAAATATGTGTTTCCAACAGCAAAGGTGTCTTTGGTGGACAAACTGCAATGTCAACGCTCGTAACATGGTTAAAGATGCTTATCTCATCTCTTTGTTACTTTTCTTGTTTTTTTGCTTTTTTTTTTTTTTTTTGTGTCCCGTTTGGATCTTTAGCCATCAGAATTGTTGTCTTAAGGCCAAGAAAGATGCCAAGCGGATTTATTTTACCAAGTGGATCATCATGGCCTTGCCATATTGGTCCATTTGATTGACCTTTATTATAATTATGAATTTATTTTATTTTCAGTTGCTACAAACGGGACAGACATGACTGGGGGATAGGACAGGGAGAAAGAATGAAAGAAAGAGAGGGAGAGAAAGAAAACCAAAGGGGAGAAGAGACGGTGAGAAGGGGGGAAGAAAGAAAAAACAAACAAAACACCTGGATCACCTGTATGGAGAAAAAAAACAGAAGAAAAGCAAACAACAAAGAGCAACATAATAATACAAAACGCACCATCACAATAAACTAGCTAGGAGTAGATATAACAGTAGATACTAAATATATAAACATATTGTGCAGCACGCAAGATAGACAGCGCACATGTGCTTTGAGGCAGGAGCCAAAAAGGGTGTAGTTGTCGTGTGTGAGATCCCCGTGTGTACACCTGTGGTGGACAGCATGCTCGTGATTTACCAAAGGTTCTTCATGTAATCGATCTGCTAGGGAGTGTGGGGAGCCACAGCCCCGTCCTCCAGGAGATGAAGCAGGTATGGAGGAGATCAAGACTCCAGACATCCAGAGGCCCTCCAGAACACAAGAGACCAAGGAAGACCAACAGAGGGGCAGCTGGCCACTAGTCCCAGATAAGAGCTGAGGAGAGTCCCAGATGAGGGCTCACTCAGCAGCCGCGGAGCAGAAGCCAGGGGGAGTTGCAGTGACGCGCCCGTGAGCTCCGCCGGCAGCCAGCTGTGCCTGAGTGACCGAGCCCCAGGCCGAGAGGCCGGGGGCACCCCACCTCCGAAGTGGCCCGAGCGAGCCCCAGGCTCCAGGCCCCGATAAGCGGCCGCCAAGGAGTGAGCCGGTGTGTACCCGGACGCCCACCCCCAGACACAAAGAACCACCAACGCACCGACACCTGAGGGAGTCCGCCACTGGCAGGGGAAGTGGTGGTGGGTGGAGATAGGCCTCCAAACCTTGGAGGGCCTGAGATGTCCCCAGAGAGGTGGCGTCTGATACAACCTGATTAACATATAGACTAATATCAGTAATCTTGCTGGCGGTATTGGAGGTTGCCACTTGGTGCAAAGTAAAAAGTTACTTAATCACACACACCTCCACCTTTACCTCCCAAACTGTGGCCTGTACAGTTAAAAGAAAAAAAAAAAGACAGAAAATGTAGTCAAGTTTAAATTCAACCCTGATTTACAGTCCCATTTATTGAAATTCTGTACATGAGAAGGGAGGAAAGCTATATATTTGCCAATCCTCCAGCTAAATGGGTCTCACCACCACTAAACATTGCTGACTGTCCTGGGGTTACAGGGCCATGTTTTGTCATATTATACCTCTTTGCCTCAAAAGCCATCACAGTAAATCTAGCCGGGAAGTCGTATTAAACAGTGCAGTAGATGTCTGCAGAGACGGACGCTGAGTGCAATCCTGGCACTCTGAGTGTACTCTGCAGTCTTAAAGTGAAAAAGTGCAGCTGCTCCTTTGGCCCTGTAAAAATACTTAAATGAGCAGATTATTATAGAGAGAGAGAGTGGCTTCGGCTCCTCTTACCTCTTGTTACACTCTTGGTAGAATAGAGCTTCCTTTTTGTATTTTCTATATATAGTAGCAAATTTTTAGTATACTTCTTACTTTAGTATAATTAATGTTAAATGTGGTTTGGCCCTGTTTTAAATAACCCTTTTGCCAATCAGAACATCTTATTGTTTTGCTTTCAATAAAATCTAATTGTATAGATGTATGGTGACCTACAGAGTGTAAATAGCCACAATTAAAACTGTTCCTCTGTTGTAAATGGCCCAAAACTCTACAGAGTGTTTCTTTAAGTTTCTGTCTTTTTTAGGCATGAAGAGTTTGCTTTAATTCAATTTCTGACTCAAAAGTCTGATGATTTCTTTGATTTTAGGGACTTAAGTTTTTGATCTTGAGCTTAACTTCTTCAGAAGGCTATTACTGTGAAAAGCGACCTGTTAAAAGTCAGTATAGTAGTCAATCTACGCTCCTTTCCACACCTATGGTCACGAGCTCTGGTTTGTAACCTAAAGAATGAGGTTGGCTGGACTTAGTCATTCAAGAAGGACCTGAAGTAGAACAACTGGACCTCCACATTGAAAGGACCCAACTGACTAGGATTCCTCTGGACACTTCCCAGGTGAAGTATTCCGGGTACAACGGGGGATTCCCAGGACTCGTGTTGAGACTACATCTCTCATCTGACCTGGGAACATCTCAGTGTCCCCCCAGATAAGCTGGAATCTGGGAGGACACTGGGGTGAGGGAAATCTCAGAATGCTGCCCCCGCGTGACCCAAGCCATGGTAAGCGGTAGAGAATGGATGGCTAGATAGATACATGCAACTGTCCTTAAAGAATTTTCCAAATAATAAAGAATAAAGTAAATCTTTTCCAGTTTAGGGTCACAGGGGAGCTGAAACCTGTCCCAGCTGTCATAGAGCAGGTCATCAGGCTGTCACATGCCTAATGGAGAAACACTCACATTCTCACCTGTGGGCGGAAGCTGGAGCACCTGGACTCATATAAGCTCCACACGGAAAGGCCTCAGCCTACATTTGAGATGCTAAGAGGCATTAGTGCTAACCACTTTACCACCTTGCTTCTAGTTTAAAGCTATGAAAGTTTCCCTTGAGTATGGCCTATGAGTTTGTACACACACTAAATCAGTTAGGTACCCCCTTAAGCAGCTGGACACATCAGAGGAGGAATCAGTCATCAGTACAAAAGAAAACAACCGACATTTAAACTAAAACCTCTCAAATGTTTTACTGTTTTCTTCACATAGTATTTCTTATTCTTAGGTTTGAAATATAGTTGTGCTGTTTGTCTTCTGTGGTTTCTATCTCTGTGCATTTTTACTGCAGTGAGACCTCGCGACACTGATAAATAACAGGCTTCACCTTTCCTTAGCGGGGCTTAGCATGACTGAATGCACTCCTAGTCTCTCTGAGAGTGTGTCCTCAGCTGTGAATCACTTGTCTTCAACATACATCTACAGTATACACACACACACACACACAGATGCTGCTCTCGGCTTTTACTGGCATGGAGAGAGCAAAGCAGAGAAGATAATCTCTGAAATGCTGACCTGCTGTCAAAGGTCAGAGGAGTTGAAAGGTCGCCCTGTGCATCATTTATAGGCTCTTAAATTAGACTGGCTCTTACACTCTGGCATACTCTCCCTTTCAAACTGTTATCAGACTCTACAAGTTATGACTGTGAGATGTGCAAATCGGTTTAGTTGGCGATGGGTTCAATGGTAGAGAAGAAAGAATGCAAAGAGAACAAAATACAACAAAACAGAATATGAAAAGATAGATCGAGGCTTTGGGATCTACTAAACATCTTGATTGGGATCTTATTTTTACTTTTCAGATGTAAATTACATATTTTGTAAATGAAATTCATGTAGAGTAATTAATTCTTTATCACATTTTCTAGAACTTTTCTTACAGATATCGCTAACACCTGCTGTTTTCACAACATTACATAAACACAACATTTTATTTATGTTTTTATATGTCGTTTATTGAATAAAATTCCATAAGGTCCTGTGGTGTGGTTTAACCATGTTTTAGACAGTAACTTATCAAGGCACTTTCTGATCCCTTAAAAAAAAATCTTTTTTTAAGGTTAAAAAAAGACTAGAGGCTACAGTTTGTCCCATAATCTTACCATTTAATGCAGCCCGATTTTATTTATGTAGCACCAAATCACACCACAGTTGCCTCAAGGCACATTATATTGTAAGGTAAACCCCATACAGTAATACAAAGAAAACAGGGAAATCCCCACAATAATATAAACCTCTATGAGAAAGCGCTTTGGTGACAGTGAGAAGGAAAAAC